TATTAAAATTTAATAAAAAATAACGCGGTAATCCGAACACCAGGAAAATATTAACTATCTCATAACGGTAGACAAACATATTTGTTGAATCGATAGTTGCCAATTGATAAATGTCATAACGTGTCTTATTGAATTTCAGATTATAAGGATGAAGGAAGACGTTGACGATGAGGACGCCGGAGCTTGCTCCTCGGGCTCAACGACGGAGAGTTCGGTATCTTCTTATGGGTGAGTTTCCGTCATATCTGTTTAATGTCCGCGTATGACTGTACTAGCGGTAGTAGTAATGATTGTGGTGGTAACGATGTTTGTAGTGGTGGTATTATAGTATTGAGACATTGAGTTCATTTTAACTTAATTTGATTACTTAGCGGCGATGATAGTGCAGTAAAAAAAGTGATATGTCGGTATGTTTAATACTATTATCAGTCACCTAATTAATTTTGTAACGAACAGAAATTTTAATTACTCTGTAATTATTTTCACTAATAATCTCGCCTCAGCTTTAATAGATTTTTTAGTTTTATTTTTGCCTACGGCTCAATAATATATTAATTCTTATAATTTTCGTCATTAAAATGACAGGATGTTAACAAATTTATTGATTGGTCCTTATCGGTAATTCAAATGAGGGTGAAAAGGCGAGAACCTTTGGTACGTGCACCTCACCCGATTAGCGATATATAAATTTTAAAAAGTTGATATCGAAGTTTGCTTTATAAAGCAAGATAACGTGAAATGATTTACTGAAACACCAAGTTTTTTGACGTTTATATTTCTTTCATAATTTTTACGATACAAACTCGTATCATCGTTCCATTATTAATTTTATTGGCAAGATTCGAATTTATTTTTCCATGAAAAATATTATTTTATACTTAGGTTATAAAAAATTTTTTTTTTTTTTTTGAACAAAAAAAAACCGAACCTACACCCCTCTATTACTTTATAATTTCGCAAAAATAACATTGTAAGTGCAACATATTATGAACATGGTATTATCGTCATCAGACTTACTTTATCAAAATTCTACTCAGGCTGCAAATGTTTCTAACTATTCTAAGCGAAAAAGATCGAATATTCACTTTACTCATTTTATGCAGTTATTTATGTGAAAAGTAGAAAGAACAAAGCAAAACATATATTTGATTTATCTCATGCCATTCGTTGCGATAATTTTTCGAATAGAAAAGATTATACGAGTCTATGAATTATTTAGGAAATTACGATAATAAAAGAAAGGTTTTTTCTCTGCCAATTGTGTTTTCTCATAATGACACAAATACACAAAATTAAAAAAAAAAAACAAAAAAAAACAAAAAAAAAAAGATTAAATTCTCTTAAACTAAAAATTATATAATATAAAGACATTATTATGTTGTTTATATTCGATAACATGTTGGCAAATGCGAATATATAAGAAGTGAAAAATGCTTCTTCTTTTTTTTCTCTCGATCTACTTTACGTATGAATTGAACAATTCGAGCCAACTGATTGAAAATGAAAGTTAAGTTAAGTTTAACTTTTATGTTTAATTGCAATAAATAATATACAGTTGTATTTAAATCAGTAAGTATACACAAGAATATATAAGCTTTTACGCACGGATACGTTGCTCCGTGCAAAAATAATACTTCATGTTAGAATGGGATAAAATGTTTATTTAAAATTCCATTAAGTTTGGACAGACAATCAGTGCATGTGTCTTAAAAAACATATTTAAACGCTAAAATAAACTAGAAAATATCTCGCAGATTGATTGCAAATAAATAAGCGCTAGCCGTTGGTGAAATAATTTTATCTCGAGCATACGTTTGATTTACACATCGAATACCACTTGTATCAGGATCGCTTACTCAAATTTTAATTTAGTATCTTTATAAGACGATCGCGAGCAGAGTGATTCTTCACGAATCCGAGCCAACACTTGCATAACAAAATTTTCACCATCACCACGTGCCCGTTAATTATTACTCAGCTGAACAATTGTCGCACATTCGGACTTGCAGCGACGATGCAACAATACTCCGCAGAGCGTTTACGAGTCTCCTCGAACTTCCAAGAAGCGGAGTCGAAGCTTAGCCAGGCGCCTTTTATCACGGGGACTTCTATCGCCCTCCTTCCGCCTTCCTTCCTAAACCCTCCGCCTCGCCGCCGACCCCAAGCCCCTCGAGCACGCAGGAGCTAAGTGAAAAGTTTACCACGCAACACGCAGCGAAAGTGAAGGTGTTGCGAATTTTCTCGATACCCAGCAGCTCGCTAAGTGCACGGCGACATAGGCGCGCGAGGGCCAGCAGAGGAGGAACAAAGGAGAGGGAGCGAGCGCAAAAGACTCGAGCTGCGCGCGGCTGCTCATTTCATCGGATAGCGCCAAGGCGGCGGCCGGTTTCACGGTCAGTACGCAAGCGACCGTCGGTCGTCGCTCGTCAACCCCGTCTTTCTCCTCCTCCACCGCCGCCGCCACCGCCGCTGCCGCTGCCACCGCCCTCGCCCCCGCCAACATCACTGCCACTGCCACCACCATCGTCGCCACTGCCATCTCCATCTCCATCTCCATCTCAATCTCCATCTTCATCTCCATCTCCATCTCCATCTCCATCGCCATCGCCATCTCCATCTTCATCTCCATCTCCATCGCCATCGCCATCGCCACCGCCATAACCATCACCATCTTTATCTCCGTTGGCTTGGCCACGCGCGCTAAAGGATAAATGAACCGGTGCAACGCGAGCCCCGAGTTCGACACTGGAGCAGGATCGTACTGGCGAGCCTCTTCTCCTCCTACTCCTCGATCATCCTCGGCGTTGCCTAGTTGAGAGCTGCCGTGGCTCCCCGACACCGCCTCTGCAAATTACGAACGAGCTTCGACTTGTGTATATATGCATGTGTGACGTGATCGGCTCCAGTCGGGCATCTAAGGTGTATAATTCGGCGCGGCGGTCCGCTGATAAGCAGAAAAAAAAGACGAGCGATAAGCGAAGGCGGGCGGGCGATATAATTGCCCGGGCGGACAACATTTCCACACTCTCGGTCGCTTGCTGTACCGACAAACTGCCCTCCCCCACTACCACCACCACCACCACCACCACCACCACCACCATCACCGCTGCCGCCGCTGCCGCCACCGCCGCCGCCACCGCCGCCGCCACCACCACCACC